TCATTACCCATTTAAGCCGTCTCCAGCCATTATTAGTCTCAAAGTGGGTTCCTCGTCATCGAAAATCAATATGATACATTATTAGAGGTTTAAACTGATACAACAGTAATCTCGTTACTAGTGAAGATTAATCCCATCTAAAAAAGAACCAAGAACCATATTTGTTTTCTTTAGACTTTCATGATTAATATAATTCAATAGGATATAAAAATGAAGCAAAACATTGATAACTAGTGAGGCTCTGTTAGAACAAGTTCTGCCATTATCTAATATTTCCAAACCAACAGGACTTTAGATAATTGTTTTTCTCTTATATTTGAAAATGCATTATTGCTAAACAACCAAATACAGCCAAACAACATCAACTAATAGAAGCACTTGCTATACAGTACCCTCTATTGGTTGCTGTGTGTATGAAGATAATAACATCTGGAAAGCAGGAAGAATTTCACTTTGTGAGAAATCAGGACTAGCTCACCAAAATATTGAACACAGAAAATGTCTGTAAGAATATGGTAGTCTCCCCTAGTAGAAAATTGTTATGGGAAAAATTCAATAATTTAAACAAGTTTAAAAGACCTCAATTGTTCTTTCTGTGACTGAATATATTCTAAAGTTTGTAGTTATATATTTATTTTCTGATTGTGTTACTTATAAAGTAGCATAAAAAGATAAGTGTTGTTTGAGCACGAAAACGTGCAAGGTGACAGAAAACCATTCTGCATGTCAAGGTCACCATTCCACTCATACAATCTAAGTTATGGAAATCAGATTAATGTTGTGTAAATTTAAAAACAAAAATTATATATTGCCAAATGAAAACAACATTTTAGGAAGTATTTACTAGTTGAGCGTGAAGGTATACACCCTTGTTGAATTTTCCAAAGTTTTTCAGTCAAAATAATTGTATTCATGTTGACATGCAGGAGTATAATCGTAATGCCCTGAAACTGGCATAATGGGACAGCAGCAGTCTTCGAGTGATAGCTTGGAAACATCGCCAGCATCTGTTGGTCCTGTTGAAGGGGGTGATGCAGACACCACCAGGGAAGAGTTTTTGATGGACTTTCCATTCCTTTCGGTGAGTTTTCTGATGTACGAAGGTAATGTAATTGTTTACATCTAATAACATTTCATGTAAATATTTATTGATTTTTTTTTTGTTGAAGTTAAGGCTGTAGGTATAGTCTTGGGGAGAAGAACGTTACTCTGTGACTGTTCTGGGTGAACGTGTAAAGTCATGATTTTCCTTCAGCATCAACTGAGAAATCCTGGTGGATAATTAAGTAATTTTTTAAGCAGGTTTTTGAGATGAGAAATGTGATTATGGAGGAACTTATTTCTTGTGTGTATAATAATTGTCAATAAATACATGGTGATTTACTAACTGTTGCGTTGGATTAAATGACTACTTATAGGTAAACGTATAATATTTAAAGTGTATAAATAAATAATCTAATTAGATTGGTTGACTTTTGTCCATATAAAACAATTTTAATAAAAACTAGGTTCTTAGTATTAGTGTGGGATTGAGAGTTAAAAGTATGGAAGAAAGTATTTTGAAAATCTTTTACCAACTGCAGCAAAAGGTGGAAGAATGAAGTAAGATTTGTTAAGTTTAGAAAATATTAAAGGACAGATCAGAAATGTTTAAAGGCAAAATAACAACATTTAAGAGACATATTAAATACGAGGAAGAACATGAGAGAAAAATTTGATAACGTGATAAGAAAATTTAGAGAAGTTAGAATAAGGTTCTCAGAGATAACGTGTTATCAGATACTGTGTAATCAGAAATGGAAAATTATCACTCAACAGCATGATTTAACAAGCAAGCTGATAGAGAATGGAAAAATATCACTCAACATCATGAATAAGGAACTTAACAAGCAAGCTGATAGAGAATGGAAAAATATCACTCA